TTTTCAGCAACATAAGTTATGTTGCTGATACTTTTTTTTCAGCAACATAGCTTATGTTGCTGATATATTAGCAACATGATTTTGGTTGGTAATGTATTACCCACCAAGCCTTCTCCAACAAAACTTTTAGCAACTAAACCCATGTTGCTGAAGGACTTTCAGCAACATGGAAAGCACTTTCAGCAACATGCTTCCATGTTGCTGAAAGCTTGAATTTTAGTAGTGTTTGGCGTGGGGAGTGGGTTCCGTTCACTTTGATTGGTATTGGCATTTGACCGTCACTTTCTTTTACTAGTGTCATGCCCCAGAATCCAAATCCGGGGTCGTGGTAGACGCCTTGCACTCGTGAGACAGGTCCCACAACTGCACAAGGCTCCCAACTTATTCAAATCACAAAATCTCAAGAATAAAATCTACCTTACAAAAGGATGATAAAATCTAAAACTTATATCCAATTAGAATGGCTAGCCTTCTACCTTGTCACTCCCCTTGGTTTCCCCGTCCTCAGTTTCGCTTCCTGAAATGGTGGATAAGGAAAAACTATGAGATAACTCAGTAAGTAAATATGGATAGCCCTTGGGTAAAATTTTAGCATGCCTGATAAACAATTTAACATAACAAAAAGTTCAATGATAAACCGTTAATGCAGAATCAAATCCAGTTCAATGGAAAAGCGTTCAATGACAAACCATTAATGCAGAATCAGATTCAGTTCAATAGCAAAACGTTCAATGACAAACTGTTAATGCAGAATCAAATTCAGTTCAATAGCAAAACGTTCAATGATAAGCCATTCATGCATAATAAAACTCATCAGTAGTCTCATGTATAAGTCATGGCCAGTGTTTAACAAACTCGCACTGGTAGGCGTCAGTAATGGTACCAGTGTTTAACAAACTTCCACTGGCAGGCATCAATAATAGTACCAGTGTTTAACAAACTCCCACTGGCAAGCGTCAGTAATAACCAATGTTTAACCCCATTGGCAGGGTTATAAAAGTACCAGTGTTTAACAAACTCCCATTGGCAGGCGTCAGTAATGGTACCAGTGTTTAACAAACTCCCACTGGCAGGCGTCAGTAATGATCAATGTTTAACCCCATTGGCAGGGTGAACTGATTCTACAGAAATACATGTCGACATGTGCTAGCGTTTACAAACTCCCACTAACGGGCGTCAGTAATCATGACTATATCAGAGACAAAACCATGCAGGATTTACAGAAAAATCCGTAATTCACAATCAATCTCAAATTTCAAAAATAAATCGAAAAATTTCCATGTGAGCATGGATTTAACAGAAAAACTCAAAATTTACAAAATTCTTAGTTCATCAAGCCAGTTCAGTCAATTTCAAATAGGCATGCTTTACTCCAGAAAAACAATGAAATTCTCGTTTTCATTCCAATCATGCTCAATTCCAGAAAATAATAATTTTCATAAAAATCATCACAATTTTCATTTCAGTTTAATCACACTCAGATGCTGATAAAATCAATTTAAACCTTGCCACCATCTCAAAAACAATTTAAAACATGCTTTAAAATCGAAGGGTTTTACCATAATTTACTTACCTCACTTGCATAAAACCGAAGACTCGATCTCAGTGCTAACTGACAGAACGATCAGAAACCTAATCAAAATATCCAAAAATTAATACCGCACTACCACAATTTCAAAGTGAAATCATCATTAGCATTACCCCTAATCACGGTGCTATTTCTATCAATCTCCACATGACCAAACATCTCCAATTTGTTCTTATATTACAAACCAAACATTTAAATCCCCGTTAATTATTGGCCATTAGTGCGTGAATAGTGCCCATGAACAGTGATCTGCAGTGAACAGCGACTGTAACTTCAAAAATTTGAGCAAAACAATAGCTAATTTCACGGGATTATTCTCCAAAATCACAACAACCCAATTCAAGCTAATTTACACTTAAATCAAGCTTAAAAACATAGCTTAAGCTACCAAAATTTCCCCATTCCTCACGGGCAGCACATGGAGAGCATGGCTTGGCAAACCACAACTCACACACATGGGATTTTCTCTCCAAACAAAATTCCTATATAAACTAAGCACAAAAACACATTTAAAATGCTACTAAATGCTACCGGAATTCCTCCCCCATTTTAGCAAAATTCGGGCAAGCACAGGGCAGCACTTAATGGACAAAGCCCAGCAATTAAATGGGTAATTTTGGACTTAATGGGGTTGTCAACATACCAGAATTTCCAGCCAGCTGAAACCGAGCTTGGCTGGTGAAGAAGCCGACGGGATCCTGGAGGGACTCACGGCAAAACTCTAGAAATTCAAGAACCGACAACAAAATTAGAGTAACCCAAGCCAAATTAAGAGAGAAAGGATGAATTTCATGGCTGTGGCTTACCCGAAAAAGCCCAGAAATTCACACCCAGCAAAACTGATGGACAGGGGAGGAAGAGTAGAGCAGAACCGGGATTTTCTGGGTTGAGAGAGAGAATTCTAAGCCCCAAATCTTGTTATTGAACAAGAAAGAAGGAGAAATTTCAAGCTTTTGCCAAGTTTCTCAAGGGGAACTATCGGCAGCTTGGGGGGGGCTTGTCGGGGAAGAAGAAGAAAAGCAGAAACACGCGGTTGATGAGGAAGAAAAGAAAGAAAGAAAAGAAGAAAAAGAAAAAGCAGTTGATCCTTATCCTAATTTCCTTTCTTTTTAATCCCTCAACTTTCAAAATTTTTCTATTAAGTCCAAAACAATATTTTTCCACAATTTAGTCCTTAACTTAATGTTAAAATATCACAAAATTTTGGGGTATTATAACTAGCTTTGTTCATTTTCTTCTCATTTGAATGTTGTGCGCAAGTGGATGCTTTTTCAAATAATTTTTTTAAAATTTATAGATGCATTTTAATGAAAATAAATTTATAACTTTATGGCATAGATTAAGAGTATATTATATAATAAGTTAAATAGTTAGATTCACAAACATATAAGTATCATCTTATAGATCACATTTAGAGTTTAAGTTTTCGAGTTAGCACTTAAGAATATTAAAGTTTTTTGGTTAAATACCATTTTTGGTCCCTCTACTATTGAAAAAAGCCACTTTTTAGTCCTTGTATTGAAAAAATCCCTTTTTGATCCTTGCGGTTTGAAATCCAACCTCTTTTTTATCCTTCCGTTAAATTTTGGCTGACGTGGCATGTTAATTAACAGAAAGCTTTTTTTTTCTTAAATTACGTGGCAAAATCCATCTGATGACATGGCCAAATTTTTTTGTCTAATATAACCTTAAAAATCTATTACCATTATAAATATTTTAAAGATTGTTTTGTAATTAAAAGTAATTGGCATTAATTACTTAATTGCCCCATCTTCTTCTCCATTGTGTTTATCCTCTCCTTCCTCTAGCTTTTTTTTTTTATCACCTTTGCTAGGTTGTTCGACGTGAACCCAGCGTCGTGCCTGAGCTCTTCAAGAACTCAAGTGCTGGGTTCTTCTTTCCAAATCTTTAGATCTAACTCCCTCTTCTTCTTCTTCATCATCTCTATGTATATAGAATCATGCCTTTCCATTGTATTTCGTATTCCATTTTCATTATCTCTGAACATGAATGATGTGGATTTAACTTTTGACGTCTAAAGTTAGTTTGATGATTAGATCATTCATAGTAACGATTTCGAGTATTGTAGCTGGAGATTCGGATCTCTTTTATTATGTATTTCGCTTTCTATATTACTTTACTTTTTTAGCTTGCATCTATTGATTCTGAGTATGAAGGATTTTGATTTAGTTTTTGAATTTCAGCCATTGATTTGATCATTCAAAGAATTGGATCTTAACTTTTATGTTATCTGTTTTCTGTGCATGTTCATTGTGAGATTTTGCTTTTAATTGATGAAATCAGTGTTAGTCCTTGAATTTCGATTTAGTTTTGAATTTCAATCTTTTCAACCTATTGATGTTGGCCAAAAGAAATGGATGGCTAGAACTAGGTGCAACAAACCCAGGGCTTGGGTTCGCAACGAACCCAGGGCCTGGGTTCATGACAAACCCAACACGAAGGCTCCAAAGGATAAGACAGAAGGGGGAAGAAGGGTGAGATGTTCATGGTGAGATACTTTATTGGGGAGTCATTGCCAATTTATCAAGAAAAAGACTTAGTTGGATGAGAGGAGAGAAGAAGAGAGGAGAGGAGAGGATGAGGGGAGAGAAAAGACTCTGTCAACTTTGGTTTAGATGAAGGAAAGAGAAGATGGGAGGTTGAAGATGAAGTTTAAGAGTAAATTTGTAATTTTAATCTTTATAATTAAAATAATACTTATTAAAATTACATACTATATTTAATATTAATACATGAGATGCCACATCATCATTTTTTTACACCATGTATTTTCCACATCATAACAATGGAGGATGTAGCCAAGTTGGAGCATACTGATCTGAATGCCTCCTAATGCATCAAGTTTGTGGCTTGTGGGAAGGGAGGGCTAATATTTGTATCACGCCCCAGAACCCAAATCCGGAGACGTGGCAGACGCTGTGCACTCGTGAGACGGGTCCCATAAGTGCACAAGGCTCCCAACTTATTCAAATCACAAAATCTCAAGAATAAAATCTACCTTACAAAAGGATGATAAAATCTAAAATTTATATCCAATTAGAATGACTAGCCTTCTACCTCGTCACTCCCCTTGGTTTCCCCGTCCTCGGTTTCGCTTCCTGAAATGGTGGACAAAGAAAAACTATGAGATAACTCAGTAAGTAAATATGGATAGCCCTTGGGTAAAACTTTTAGCATGCTTGATAAACAGTTTAACATAACAAAACGTTCAATGATAACTCGTTAAAACAGAATCAGATTCAGTTCAATAGCAAAACGTTCAATGACAAACCGTCAATGCATAATCAGATTCAGTTCAATAACAAAGCATTTAATGACAAATCGTTTATGCATAATAAAACTCATCAGTAGTCTCATCTATAAGTCATGGCCAGTGTTTAACAAACTCCCACTGGTAGGCGTCAGTAATTACCAATGTATCATCCCATTGGCAGGATTTCGGAATGAACCGGTCATATCAGTAAACATGTCGACATGTGCCAACGTTTACAAACTCTCACTGACGGGCGTCAGTAATCATGACTATATCTGAGACAAAACCATGCAGGATTTCCAGAAAAATCCGTAATTCACAATCAATCTCAAATTTCAAAAATAAATCGAAAAATTTCCATGTGAGCATGGATTTAATAGAAAACTCAGAACTTACAAAATTCTCAGTTCATCAAAGCAGTTCAGTAAATTCCAAATAGGCATGCTCTATTTAATGCAAATGAAAACAATTTCATGTGAGCATGCTCAATTCCAAAAAAACAATGAAATTCTCATTTTCATTCCAATCCTACTCAATTCCAAAAAATAATAATTTTCATAAAAATCATCACCGTTTTCATTTCAGTTTAATCACACTCAGATGCTGATAAAATCAATTTAAATCTTGCCACCATCTCAAAAACAATTTAAAATATGCTTTAAAATCAAAGGGTTTTACCATAAATTTACTTACCTTACTCGCACAGAACGGAAGGCTTAACTCAAGTGCTACAATGACAGAACGATCAAAAGCTAATCACAATATTTCAAAGTTAATACCGCACTACCACAAATTCAAAGTGAAATAATCATTAGGACTACCCCTAATCACGATGCTATTTTTATCAGTCTCCACATGACCGGACATCTCCAAATTTGTTTTTATATTACAAACTAAACATTTAATCCCCGTTAATTGTTGGCTATCAGTGGGTGAACAGTGCCCGTGAACAATGCTCGTAAACAGTATCCATGAACAATACCATGAATAGTATTGCAACTTCCAAAAATTGGCCAAAACATTAGCTAATTCACGGGATTTTTCTCCAAAATCACAACAACCCAATTAACAAAATTCCTACATAAACCAAGCACAAAAACACATTTAAAATGCTGTTAAATGCTACTGGAATTCCTCCCCCATTTTAGAAAAATTCGGGCAAGCACAGGGCAACACTTAATGGACAAAACCCAGCAATTAAATGGGTAATTTTAGGCTTAGAGGAGCTGTCACATACCATAATTTTCCCAGCAAAAATTGGACTGTAGGTTGAGGGGAAGGTCGGCGGGAAATTGGAGGAGCTTTCATGCCACTACCCAAAAATTGAAAGAAACCAAAAGGGATTAAAGTGCACCCAAGCCAAATTAAGGTTGAAAAGATGAAGTTCATGTTGTTTCCTTACCAGAAAAACTGAACCCACCTAATGAGCTAAATTTATATACATATTAATAGGGAATTTTTACTTTGATTTTATTGATATTTGGATGAGTTTTATAGGATTTTGTTTGATTTTACATGGTTTTCATTCTTTGTGTAGGAAAAAATTTAATTAGAAAAAATCCTACTTTTTAGAAGTAAATTGAAGAGATCAGAGACTTGAGGATCAACTTGTGCAGAATCCAAAAGTCAGGAACCAAATCTACTATTTTACCATTGAAGAAATTGCAAAAGGAGACCAGAAACTCGACACGGGTGTAGTGTCGACACATGATCGGGGTATCGACACCATGCGCTAAAAGTCCAGAATCAAATTATGTTTCCTATTTTGTGTCAACACGTAATCCGAAGTGTCAGTACCATGCGATCAGCATCTAAAATTCAGTTTCCTATTTCTATTCTAAGTCCTACTTCTATTTCAATTAGGGTTTCTAAAATCCTATAAATACCCATCCAAATTCAGAATGAGGAGAGTTTTTGAGAGGCTGGTGGCAGCCCTCTTTTGGGCATTCTTGAAGATCAAGAGAAAGGATTCAACAATAGAAGATCAAGGAGTTTGAGTTCCTCAAATCGGGTTTTTTTTTTCCTTGAGTTTTTATCTATTGTTTGATATTTGAATGTTCATAATTTTGATTTCATATTTTATTATTTTTATTATGAACTGATTTATTCTACTAGGGTTACGATGTAGCCTAATCAATTTAATATGGATTTTGTGATTTTATTCTTTCAATTAAAGTTATTCGCGTGAGGAGTTTATATTATTGAACTTAATGCATTGAAAGTCTGATCATTTTTCAATTGATTTAGTGATTTATGCATGAACTTGAGAAAGAATTGCATAGATTAGACTAATAATAATATAAACCGTGTGCTAGACTATGAGACTGAAAGGTAATTAGCTCACATGTGATAGTGGAGGAAGAGAAGAGAGTTAGTAGCTCCTCCTTCTTAAGCTAGAGGTTTCCATAGAATCTAATGCTCATTAGTTTGTTTAAAATTACATAGAGATATAATTAATTTAACAAACCAATGAAGGATTAACTTGACTTGAGAAAGCTAGTTAATTGATTTAGAGAAATCCGCCATCACATGCAATAACACTCAACAATTTAGTAATTCAGAATTTATATTAATTGATTATGGTGAAGTCAATGCCTTAGTATCTCATATCTTGGTTAGGTTTAATTTAATTTTATTTTCCTTTTATTATTTTTTTAGTTAAACTTTCTTCCCATTTGGTTGTTCAAATAAATTTGAATTAATTATTTTGGTACTTAGTTAGACACAATCCTTGTGGGTTTGACACTCTTCTCATCATTATATTACTTGGAGCGACTAGTACACTTGCTAAGGTGATTTTAGTGCATCAAGTTTTTGGCGCCGTTGCTGGGGATTGTTGATTTAATTAATATCAAAGTTGGTTAATTCTAGATTTAATTTGAACGTTTGCTTTTCTTTTATTTCTTTACTTTGATTTTTTCTTTTTGTTTCTTTTGTTTTTGTTTTTGTTTTTGTAGGTGTAACTATGGATCGAGTTGTCTTAAACACTGATGTGGATTATCAATGGCTTGCGCCAGAGATGAGGGCACAAGTTGAAGTAGTAACTATCTTGCTAGCAGAAATTGATAATGATGAACTTGAACGATTTCAAGCAGTCATTGAAAGGATCAAATTAAAGAAGACTATAGTAGAACAATTAAATATCACTTGTCAATGGTGTGGATGTGACCATTTTAGTTCTGATTGCTATTTTAAACGATCTAACAAGTGTGTTGATTTTTCTGGTGATTTTTATAGCCAACAGTATAATTCTTATCCCAATGCATGTAATGTTGATCCAAACACCTCATGGAATAATGAAGATATATTGGAGCCACAATCAAGGCTTCAAGCTCAAGAAAAGGAGTTGTGTTTGGATAAAAACTTAGAAACTCAATCAAGTCATTTGCTCAACTTAGTTGCTGAAGAGATACAAGGTGAGTTACCTAGTGCAACAATGAAAAATCAAGAAGAAAAGGTAACCACCTTACCCTTGGAGATTGGAGGACAACTTGGAGAAGTAGAAATTATGCCTACAGAAACTAAACAAGAGGATGTCCCTAAGGAGGAAGAGGAAAAAGCTCAAGTGTCATTTGAAGTGTTCAATGGGGAGTCTCCTTTAACCAAATCTGATTTTAATGATTATTTTGTTATTGATATGATTGATGAGATTTTGCAGAAAAACACTTATGAGGATCCATTTGAGATTTACTTTATTCAAGCAAAGAACCCAATCAAAAAATACATAAATTGCTTGAACACATCATCTTCCTTGGAATCCAAGGGGGCACTCCTAGAAGAATTGGGAAGGCACATCTACTGGCCTAAACCCAAACCACCTCAAAATAGTCATTGGAGAAAATCTTGTGGTGGATTCAACTTAAGGGCAAGAAAGCCAAGATTTAGGAAAACGAGAGGACATGCCCTACAACCTGATCCAAAACCACCTTGGAGTGGTAGAAAGTCTAGTTAATGACTATAAATTAAGCGCTTCTTGGGAGGTAACCCAAGCATAAAATTTTTCTTTTCTTTAATTTATTTTTCTTTTATAGTTTAGCTTTTCTTTTAATTTTTTTCTTTTTCTCTTTATGGCCTAGGTTAATGCATAAATTGTTGTTCTTTGATTTTGGCCAGGTCATTGAACAAGTTTGGGGGGTGAGATTATGGAAATTCACATGCTTAAAGTCTCCAATTGACAGAACTCAACTTCAGAACTTAAATTTTCAAGTGCAAAACCTGGGAAGTTTCTCTTTTCTCTTACTTTTATTTTACATTGAGGACAATGTTTGATTTAAGTCTGGGGGAGAGAATAACTTTTAGGCATCCATTCTTACATTAGTTGCATTTATATTTGCATGATATACATTTTTTTTAGAAATTAGGGTATTTTTTTTTAGGAATTGGTCCAATTAGTGTCAAGGAATTGAATATTCTTCAGTTAGAGTTTTTAAAATCTTTTAATCTTAGAGGAGATACAAATCTAAAAAATAACACCATTGTGATGAAGTTTAAGTTCATGAGTATTATATTCTATTTAA